TAGACTTCAATGAAAATAATTAATTCTTTGCTCTCTGTTTAAGCTGTTATCCAATAGTCCTTTCCTGCCTTTTTTCCCCTAAAGGAAGTTTGCTTTGCTTTGCTTTGTTTAGATCTGTCACTCCCAGGTTTATAAAGAAATTCAGTTTGTGTGCTCAGATCGCTGAAGACACGGAGTGTAGAGAAGCTAATCTGTTATTCACAGGGAAGGGAGTGTAAAGATTAGAGGAAGAAAGGAAGTATTGATTACTTGTCCTGTCTTTCCAAATATATACATTATGTTACATTAGAACAGTGTTTCTCAGCCTTGGCAGCTTTAAGATGTATGGACTTGTGCTGGCTGGGGAATTCTGGGAGTTGAAGTCCATAGATCTTAAAGTTGTTGAGGTTGAGAAACACTACCCCAGGGACATGTAGATAAAAAAAAAGTGTCCAGGGTGTGTTTGTTCCCTAGTTAGGTTCATTCTTTCTAAAGAATAAGATTCTACTGCCAAAGGAACTGTCTGGGGAAATCTGGGAGTTGAAATCCACACATCTTGAAGTTGCCAAGATGGACAAACATTGCATTAGAACATGTACGTATTTGGAAAATATGCTTAGGGATGGCGGTGTAAAGTACTGCATGGCTACAATGGTTAATTTTAAGGAGGAAAAAGGATTTTGCATGGGATGAGTACATGGAAATATTCCCACTGAGTATATATTGGTTTTCTGGCCTTTCACTGCAAGGACGTAGGAGCCCAACCCACCTCACAAGGTGGTTGTTGTGGAGAAAATAGGCAGGAGTATTAGATACGTTCGCTGACTTGAGTTGAGTTGAGAAAGGTGGGATAAAACTCAATAACAACAACCATTAGTAATGTAGACCATGTCTATAAATGGCATCTTGCTGTAAACCCATTTCCTTAATCCTGGTTTACTAAGCTGTAACTGGCTGGGATGTGCAACACACTCCATTATAAACCATGAGTTATACAGCATAGCAGCTTGGTTCACACAACAAGGTAAACCAAAAGCAAGCAACACATTCTTTGTTTTAATTGCTCTTTCACCAAGATATTCCAGGAACAAGGTTTCCAGGGGCATTTCAATTGACTCAAATCATCCAATGAGCTTAAAATTTAAACCTAGATCTGTCTTTTTTTTTTTTTTTTGGTGGAGTGGCTGACTTCAAGTCAATGTTGATGCCTGGTGATGTCTGCACTAGTCCCTGCAGGTTTCTTGGCAAGGTTTTCGGAAATGGCCTGCCATTGCCTCCTTCCTGGGGCTGAGAGAGAGTGACTGGCCCAAAGTGACCCAGCTGGCTTTGTGCCAAAGGCGGAACTAAAACTCATGGTCTCCTGGTTTCTAGCCTGGTGCCTTAACCTCTACACCAAACTGGCTTTTTAGATCTCTGGTTTCTCTGAAATCAGAATTGTTTCTGTTAGGTCTTATGGACGTTGAATTAGAAAGAAATATGGGAAATTAATACTATGTATAGTAACTGCAGTAAGATTACTGTATGCACAAAGATGGAAGAATAATGAAATACCCACAGCAGACGACTGTCTTACAAAATTGACAGAACTGGCAGAAATGGCAACACTGACCATTTTGGTCAGGAAAAAACCGACAAAGATGTTTTTGAAAGACCAGAAACCTTATACGGTCTTTTTGTTGAAAAAAGGAAAGGCTGGATTGATGATTTATGGATTTGGGGATTAACAAGGATTATAAAGGAAGAAGGAGGGAATTTTAAAGAGGGAAGGAGAAAAAGAGGGGAAAGATTGAGATGATAACTCCTTGATGGAAAAAAAGGATTATAAAGGAAGAAGGAGGGAATTTTAAAGAGGGAAGGAGAAAAAGAGGGGAAAGATTGAGATGATAACTCCTTGATGGAAAAAAGGGTGGAAGTCATAATTATTTTTTTTCTTTGATTTTTTCATATTTTTATTGTACTTAAAAATTCTAATCATAGTAAAAAAAAAATTCTCTCCTCTCTGTTTATCCTGATTTGTCTGCAGCCTTTGAGGGCTCTGAATTCCTAGCTTGATTACTCTTCTTCCTGCAACATATCTGCACGGCCTGCCATTCTTCAGGGCCTCCATGTTGACAGAAACCATGATAGCGAGGATGAAACTGATATCTTGGATGAAGTAAAACATTCAGGTATGGGCTGTTCAAACATACACTGGACCACGTGTGGACTTTCTGCTTCCGTCTGGATCGGTTCCTTTTTTCAGAACGGAGCTAGGCAAATACCGTTCTTTACGCACGCAAGACACGGTTTCAGCATTCCTAAGCGTTTATTTTGAACGCAAACCCATTTATTGCGTTTTCCATTTCTCTTGGTGCCATGAAATCAAAGCAGAACGGTTAGGCGTGACGGAGAGGGAGAAATTGACATTGTACATCTCACTGCTCATCAGCTTGCCCACGTTCTACTGCAAGTGACGGTCCAACATCTCTTCTGTTCGAGAAAACTGTTTCACCAAATACATTAAAGGTTTGTTGGTTTATTATTAAGAAAAAAACACATAGAGGTGCTTTAACAAAAAAGGGAAAGAAATACAACAAAGAAAAAAAAGCATGTTAATATGTCATTATATACTTGCAAATATTATATAAGTACATATATATTTCTAATACATTCATATGGCTATGTGTGTGTTTTTTTTAACCTACTGTATTTTATATAAACCAAATACATTAAAGGTTTGTTGGTTTATTATTAAGAAAAAAACACATAGAGGTGCTTTAACAAAAAAGGGAAAGAAATACAACAAAGAAAAAAAAGCATGTTAATATGTCATTATATACTTACCTAATGCAAATATTATTCAAGTACATATATATTTCTAATACATTCATATGGCTATGTGTGTGTTTTTTTTAACCTACTGTATTTTATATAAACCAAATACATTAAAGTTAAGAGAGAAAGCAACACACAGATGTCCTGGAAAAATTTC